CATTTTCATGCGGATATCTGACATTGCAAGGAGTCAAGGAGACACAGAGGGACAGACTCACTGGTCGGTTTAGACTCAGATTAAGATGGCCCGGACCTGCTAACTTAGACTCAGATAAGAGGGTCCGGACCTGTTACCAGGAAAAATCTTCGAGGCAACGAAATTACTTTTGATTGCCATTGGAAATCGGGCAGACGAAAAATCAAACACAACGCAACATGGAACCATTTTGGGATTTCACGCTCGCTCTATTCGTCGACAGAGACATGATCAAGCAAGATGTCGGAAACTGATCGCGTAATGAGAAACGAAGGCATGTCTGCGGCAACGCCAATGCTCGAAAACTTCTGCGGCCTCTGCTTGGACAGCAAACACTGGCGGCAGCATCTATGTTGCAAACAGGATTTCGATTTCACATCATCATCTGCCACGTGGATGATTTTTTTCTCGGATGTCGTTCCTTTTCTGAATCATTTCGTTCGCATTGGGTTCGGGTTCGGTATCTGAAGGGTATCACCCAAAGATCGGTTCATGATGTTACAGTGACATAAAGTAGATTTCAGTATGTATACTTTTCCTTGTATATAGGTAACTTTTGATGCATAAAGAATTCACCGAAACATATCAACACCTATCAAAACATCATAACTGGTATTTGTCCTTGCGTTGAACATTGAACGTCGAACATCGAAGATATGACGGACAACTGCCCGAGAATCTTCAATGTTCAAGGTTCAGTCCACCGAACAATCTGAATCAGTTGTCAAGTGCTTGAATTTTGACCATCGAAGATTTGACGGAACAATGTACCCGTAATCTTCAATGTTGAATGTTCCATGCAAGGAAAATATCCTGGTTTTTATTATACATCCTTACAGGAGTGTCTGCTATTGAACCGAAGCAGGTGCTTGCTGCCCGGAGTCTATATTGCATCATAAGCTTATGTGATTGACGCGTGTCTTGCATCAACAAGATAGCCCACACTTTCAAACAGAATGCAAACCAATCGGGTGAAGTAGTATGGAAGTCCAAGCGAGCCTGGTGGCGAAAGTGTTGTCAGCAGACAATACGAACAAGGCTTATGTCAAGACAGAGCAGGCAGTCCGTGAAGAGACGGTCAGGGCCGCAGCGCAAGACAATGACATTTCAAGCATTGAAAATACTTCCGTTCGCTTAACTATGCAAACATGACATAGCATCAATACACAGAAAACACGACCCGGCCAAGCTTGAAAACTATCGAGCAATAGCATTGCAAAAAGGTCTAGCTGCATTGATGAAGCTGGGCATAGCTGATGTGATCGACCCATAGATTTCTAAACGACAATTCGGTTTTCGGGCAAAGAATCGACAGCCCAAACCATTTTCATGGCTAGATGATTAATGGGCATGGCCGAGAAACAGGGAAAACACATATTTCTGGTATTTCAAAGACAGCCTTCGACAAAGTGGACCAACAGCGGCCAGTTGAAGTTCTGCAATGTCTCCACATGCCGCAGAATACTTTATGAGCATTCAGCAACATGTACGAAGTACGCAATTAGGAGCCATTTGAAGCGAAAACAAAACAGAATACACGCCGCAAGAATCCGGAGCACGACAAGGTTTTCCGCACTTTCCCCGCATTTGTTCTGTATGCTGTTATCTGCTAGCTTCGAGGATATTAGATGTGAGCTAAAGGCGCCAAAGCAGAAATAACTTATAGAAAGACTTAAATACGCTGAAATGCTGTATGCTGATGACCCGCTAATTTTGGGAACGCACACGCATCATACTATTAACAAAGTTCCACGTGCGAGACGAGCGGAGCCGCCAACATACATTCTTCGGTTGAATTTGGAGAAATGAGTCAGCCTCAGCATCAACCAGCATCAATCAACCGTGAAGTTTCTTGACGGTTCGCACGTGCCGCGTCCGAGGGGCAATGCTTATGGATGCTGTTGACCACAGAGAAACTTTGTAGAAGACCGGAGAAGCGAATGGCATAGCCAATCAACTCAGCCTTCCATGGTCCAAGGCTAGAGCCACCAACGCATGGAGCTAAGGGTATTTGAACTCTTTAACGAAGAACAGTACGATCTAGAAGCAATATAGCTGACTCATGCAGAACTGCCGAACAAGCTGGTATCGGCTCGTTCCAAGTGAAGATGCTTAGAACAGTCCTACAAGTACCGATCGAGGATGGACACTTGCCGAAAGATTTCAATACTTTCTGAAGCATAGCGCAGACGCAAGATCACTCTTTTCGGTCACATCTTGAGTTCTCCAGCAACAGGCCCTATGAGCAAAGAACGCATGCACCACGAATCGAAGTCACATGAAGGGTAGGCAAACCAAGTGCGAGTTGTTTACTCGAGACATGCAGAGAAGCTTATGAATTGGTGGATCCCCACAGAGAGTTCGATATCAACAGTTCTAAGCACATGAACAACCTTGTGAGTAGGGCGAGGGCGAGACACCTGCAGGGTCCTTTCGGGCTTTCGGGAGTAATTAGTTTCAGTCCGAAGTCGAAGGCTTTCTTCGAATGTCTCATCGAACGTTTTGCTCATATGAAGTAGGCGAGCTTATGTTAGAACAAAGATTGCAAAGCACTGGCGAGAGTTTCTGCCACGGTCCAAGAATCCCCGGGGCACCGCAACAGTTTCGTGACATTTCATTTTCCGCTGGAGCGTGCAGAAGAAGCACCTGAAACTCAGAATTTGAAAGGCACCGACGGATTTCACAAGAAAGCGGAAATAAGAAAGGAACTCAAGTGCGAAAATAAAAGCATGAATGGAAAACTGACGGAAAATGAATGGGAACCTATCTGGATGCAAAGACAAGATTTTCAATGCACAAAATGAAACACGCTAAAGCATGCTGGACACAGACTCCAGCCCAACGAGACGAATGTGCGCACGAGACGGAAACACAAGCTTGAAACGTTAGAGCCGCAACAATGGCAACAGCTTCGTCGAGCAAGCGTTGCTCCCCGGGGTTTGTGGTGTCCTGACTTCCGTGCATGTTTGTTATCGTTTGCTTATCTGGTTTTGTGTTTGTGGCGTTTGTTCTCATACCGTTTCCTGTGTATTTGTCGAGCCTGTTGTTCTGACCTTGACTATTTTCAGTTATTGTTTTCATAGAGCGAGCAGGTGGGGGGTTCATGAAAAGACTCAGGTCTTCATCGACACCCAGGCCCTTCGCAGTGGAACGTGATGTTGTGTCGCGCGAGAGGTTGTGTCCGGTGGCAGGAATCCCTTCGAGGGACCTCAGCTAGAAAGTCCTGTCCGGAGCCAATGATTGGAAGGAGATCGGTAAGGATCTAAAGCTCCAAAGACGGAATCGTCTCAGGCCTCTTCCGCAAGTCCTGCGCGTGATCTTGTCAGGCACATTGCTTTTCATCGGCAAAGGCTGCGCTTGGAGATGACGATAACCGATAACAGATGCCAGGAAGTTCGTGCGCGATATGTTACAGGGTGTGGCGGCAGTTCTTCCTCCTGCCGTCGTCCGAGTTTCTCGCAGAACCGATCAGAATCCTCCTGCGGTTTCAGCAGTCAAGCTCGACAGGCCTGGCCTGGGGACATGTCGCAGTCTTATCTTCCGCAGATTCGTGGAGTTCTGTTGATTGTCTAACACATGCAAATACATGCAAACACAACCGTTCGTTTGGTTTACTGCACTTTGCCTCATTCATTCGGAGTGTACGGGAATGTACGGGAGTTGAAGCACAGATGTGGGACATCTCATGAAGGGCATCGCTGTCTACAAGGTTGTTCGGCCGCAAATGGGTATGTCCAGTTGCACGGTGTTTTTGCGCACAGGGTACGTCTGTGGCTGACGGGGGGGTGCAAGCGCCAGAGTGTCTGTGGCGCTGCTGCACTGCGGCTGCGTCGCAATTGCTGCTTGCAGAAGCTGATCAGGTGTGGACACAACGTGACAGTGTCCTTGGATAAGAGGATGAAGGTCCTCTGCGTGCGTTCTACTGATCCTTCTGTGCGATCCTCAGACTACGCCATGTAGGAATCACGTGATACGGGTCAGAACTGTTGAACTTCTGATACTGCCGCCATCCACTTTGCGTGCAGACTCTAGTTAGTGCCGTTGATGGTCTGCAAGCCGACAGCATCGCAACCGTGCGTGTGACATTCACACATGTTGAGGCTACCGTGTGCTAAAGCTCTAGTGGGTTGTCGGTCGGAACAGTCGTGTGGCGAATGCAGTCTTATCGGCCCTGGGCATTAGGCATTGGTCTGCGAAAAGACATGTCTGCGAAAAGACATGAGGTAATAAGGGGCAACGAAGTCTTCAGGAAGATGTGATGTGCTGGCAGCTCGCAAGGTGGAAGTCTCCACGCAGCTAGGTGTCCCGCGGCCGACTCAGCCATGAAAGGTGCAACGGTGATTGCAGATATTTCTTCGAGAGCCCACGTGAGGGTTGAAAGCAAACGCCGGGCTGACGCAGGGAAGTGCGTTAGCAACGTTCGTTGCACGGAGGCGTGCCATGTTTGCTCTTCAGCACCTGAAGTTTCTACCAGTGCATCTCGTAGCCGATATGGACCAGAAAATGAAGGCTGTCCCCCACGACCAATTCTGAATCCATCACAGAACTGGAGACGGCGCATACCAGCAAGTGCTTGCATTTTGAAGCCACTGGCCATCGACCGTAATTGATATGAACTGACGTGCACATCCGGGCAGCCTCTGACAGAGGAAGCAACTTTTCCTGAAAGAGACTGCTGCAAACCTGGGCTGCCGGGTTTGCTGAGGAAGCAGAAGAGCGGTTGAATAACACTTCATCCACACAAGCTCAATGCCGTTTTCTCATCTTCGTATGCTCGAAGAGCCACCGAGGCTGACCAGCATTGCCAGTATAGCTTTTGGGTGCTGCAATCCAGGGGAGGCGCCGTGCGACACAGCTGCTGATAAGCAATGCAGACATCTTATGCTTACTTTCAGGGGCGGCTGAGTGCGACAGAGCACTCCGTCACCCTCTTCTTGGACGAAGGCCGCAAGATGAATTAAATTTCAACCATTCAAGGAGCATTGCGTTCATGGAAAATCGGGAATTCCAAGCAGGGCTTCGGAGAAGGCTACTTAAACAGACTAACCCCCTGCATCTTGTCAAAGTGCCACATACTTGGGGGGAAGGAGAGTCTGTGCGAATCATTTTCCTTTGTCATTGTGCGTTGTTTGTGATGTCCGTAACCTCTACAAAATCTACGAGGACGACGCCCCTGTTCAGCTGCGAAATTAAAATGTTTTAGCAATTATGCGGGACTGAAGCCACGATTCCAAGCGCTGCCAGGCTACGGCCCGTCCATAGTGCTCGAGTTCCGCGACCTGGAGGCACACGCTGCCAAGGCAGACAGGCATCGAGGCAGCTGTAAACACTGCTAATGCAGTCTAAAGCACCGCGCTAGGATACTAGGAGCTCGTGGGAGCTCAGATCGGCTCAGGAACGCGATACCTTTGCCATCTGTTTGTCCATGTTCGTGGACGGCAGAAAGGCTCATTGCAATTCGGTCGCAAAAGCTGCTTAAACTTCCCTGCAAGCAGGTGGAAGTGGATTGTCGAGAGAAGCGCTCCCTTTAGCCTGAGTAGCCTGTTTCGGAGAGGTGCTCTCAGCATGCTTTCGAGGCTGCCATGTGGCCATAGGTGCACGCGATCCTTCATCCCCTCTTATTGCTATGTAAACTCGTGTGTTGACGAAACTTCACTCTCCCCACCTTGGTCTTGCTCGGCCATGTTTCACGTGAGAACACCGAAGTCCGAAACCATGAGCGCTAGATGGGCCCAGCATGCCAACGTTTCGTTCGGGCAGAGCCCGACCCGGAATGCGCTGGAGGAGTGGCGGAAACTGGCCGCTTGCTCAAGCCGAGGGCCGAGGAGACAGGCTCCATCCAGTAAAAAGAATCCTGCTGCCATGCTCAGTTCTTCCCAAGCCCTCTGAACGGTAGCAAGCTTCAGACGGAATGCCTGCTGCCTCATTCTCAAGAGAAGCTTCTTCGGCGGTGGAACTCAGCGAAGCTGAGTGGTCAACAAGGCTGGGTCACATCCTGCGTAAGCCAGACCTATCGTTAAGCCCTTCTCTTCATGCACCAGTCGCCAGGTATGGCAGCCGTCCGGGTGCGAGGCATTTGAGGTGACTGTGAAAGCCTCTGCCGATCACTTCTCCCAGCGCGTGCCATCCTTCATCGAAAGGCAAATGCGTGCGAGCCAGAGCACGCCGGAGCTGCATCAGCTCGAGAGGTTCGCGAGAGCCCGGTTCTCTTCGTGTTCATGTCATTTCGTGCCGCTCTCGCAGGGCTCCTTCCGGCGGCCTCGCCTTCAGAGCCTCCCAGCGCTCGCCGGCTGGCTGCATTGGAGCCTGAGCATCTCGTACAAAACCTCGGACAGTGAGGCTCGAAGGAGATACACCTGCCGTCGGAAACAAGCTCGACTTGCGCAGGCCAGGCGAAGTGCGGCAGACTTCCGGTGGGTTTCTCGTCCTTGTAGCAGGCGAGCAGCCGAGATCGTGGCCCTGAACTCGCTCTACGCGCAGTCCAGCTCTGGGTCCGCGGGGGAAGCATGCACTGATGACCGACGTGACCCCCCATCTGCGAGAGGAGCCTGCAGCATGCAGCCATTCCACGGATACGGCATGTCCTGGAGGCACATGGCCAAGCTCAGATTGCGTCTGTGTTCCGTCTTGATACGGCATGCATCGCCAGGCCAGAGACGAGCTTCTTGCCGAGCAAGCCAGTGAGAACCGCGGCAGCAGCCCGATCCGATCTGTTTCTCCGAGTGCATGCTGCGCATAACAGTCGACTTTGGTTTCATGAGGCCTGCATGCCAACAGCTTGCCCGCATGCAGTAGCAAGCATTGCTCAAGCCCTGTGGGCAGAAGGGTTGGGATCGAAGCCTGCGAAGAGTTGCGATATGAACCAGCTGATTCTCAAGTCGACCTTCCTTTCCGTCCAAGCAAGGCAGTGCAGACTGGTGAGTTGTCGCGAAGGGTGTGCTGCTTGACGAGCTTTTCTGGCAGTTTTGTAGCTGAAGGCCAGCCACATCATGTCGGGCACGTAGCGCTCCTCCTCAAGGGCGTCCAGGACCATGTCGGGGGTGAGGGCCGAAGATGGCCGAAGTAGCGCTTTCACTTGTGCTGCAAAGGGCATCTGAAGAGGCCACGAAGGAATCCAGGAACCTCGCCTTCCCGGCCTCTCTCCAAATCTCCAACTCTACTACGCTGCCACAGAATCCCAGATCAGACATGCCCAAAAAGTCTCAGACCCGAAATGGCCGATTCTCAGACCAGAGATTTTGGGCGAGGGGACTTGGCCACGGCCAGACCGCCTGGGTGGTTCCGTTTGGAGTGGGCAGCACAGCAGACGGCATGCGAGTTGCAAAATCTGAACTATCGTTGATGATGGGAGGGAGCAAGCCTGTTGCAGCCCTTGCATCTGCCCTCCCTCTCCCTCTCTAGACTAAACCGCTTCTTGGGTTGGTGGCCTGATTATCAGATGGCAGGGGCCGAACCGAATCTTTACCTCTCCCAGACCCCCGAGGTCAGAAGTTCGACCACCTCAACTCAATCGACTACAGCTCATGCCTGCTCCCTGTTCTCAGGCGCCGCTTCCAAGCAGGGAGACTACGTTGCTGGCCTAGTGCAGCGCGCCAGTTCGTTGAATTTTCTCGAAGCTGAAGTCGACACTTGGTGAAGCTGCTGTGGTGATAACAGCTAAGCTCCATCGTGCAGCACCTGCCGCCGTAGTGATCTCAACATTAGCTTTAAAGTATTGTCTTGTGGGTGGAGAACCAAGGAAACTGACAAGAAAGACCAGACTAAGGCAGCTGGCAGGCCATCTGTAAAAGGGCAGCTGGCAACTAAGTTTCCAACAGTCAACGCAACTTGCACTTCAATGCTGCAGCCCTCGCGCACAGGACGGTGAATCCCGGCACACTTGGACATCCTCAGCTCTGCTGCCGACCGTGTGTGTACTTGGTGATCGCAGGATCCTGCAGGAACGGCGAGGAGTGTGAGTATTGCCACGAGCCCCACGACGCACGTGTCCCGAAACTGGACAAGCAACAGAGGCAGCTTCTTCGCACTCTGAACGAAGCGGACACCTTGGGATTATTGCTCCCTTACCTCACCGAGAAAGCACGGAGCATGCCGCCGATTGCTTTGGAGCTTGTGAGCCAATTGGAAAGGCACTTGGCATCTTTGGACTCCGCAACAGGTACCGTCATCTCGAATGCACGCCTCGTGAAGCTCGCGCACGTGCTTCAGAAAATGTCGTTCATTCGGGTCCTTTGCTTGATGCCCACGGTTTGGAGTACAGAGGTTAAGACTCTCCTCGCCGAGCTGCGTCGTGCCTACATCTGTGCAGATGATCAGATTGTCGAGCTCAAGTGAGCGCGATCAGCACGCGCTAGGCTAGAGACTGGTTGCGGAATGGCTTCGATGGCTATCCGAATTTGGATCTCGACTCGGCTTGCAAATCGAAATCTACCAAAGCAATGGGTAGTCGCATGCTGGTTGTTCTGGCAGCAAGTCTCTGTTTTGTTTTTTCAGCCTCTTGGCACTTGCAGAGGCAGTTGAAACAATGGCCCAAATACTTTCAAGCCGTTATTATCTCAACAGGCATGAAGCTGGCAGGGCGGTGGTTCCTGTTTGACCAGCATCTGTGACCACTTCTGACAGCCTTGCCATCAAATCTTCCAAAAAATTGGCTGCATGCAGACCAGCAGACCGAACGGATGTGAAATCCCGTTTTCGTTCATTGTACCCGGTTCAGTATGCAACGAGCCACCGAAATGGCGATCTGCTGGAAAGCCTGTTTGAACTCAGTTTTCGTGTTCTAGAGCGATGTCGGCCATGCAGAGAAGCTGTTGCATTGCTGCTTTCGAAAACACCCTCGAAGAACAGCATTTGCCATTCCAGTTGAAATCGATGCACAGTCAGCAACAGTTTTGGATGCTTGCCTGGCACCGCCCAATTCACAAGCGCATTGCCCGTGCAGACCTGCAAGAGGCAAAGCGATGCTAGGGTTTGGTAGGTTTTCTTCGTAGGTGGATTTGCACGACTTTGTAGTCGCAGGCTGATAGCCTTTGCTACATCCATCTTGCCATTCGAGGCGAAGTTGAAAGCTGGGCATCCAGCATGCCCAGTGGTTCTTACAGAGAGACGTCAAGCGGTTGTTTCTGAAGGAGGTGCGATGAGCCTTACTCGGACGCCGCTAGTCAAACTTCGAATGCACGCGCAGGTACTTCTTGCTCCACGGACAGGAATCTTTCTAAACAGGGATTCGAAGAACACGGTTCTAGATTAGGCTGATTAGGGTGTGATGACTTGAGACTCAGATCGTGGCCGTAGTAAAGCGAGATGCAAGTCACAACATTAACTTATGTTCGGTGTGTGCTGATTTCTGACCCAACATGGGGAATAAGTTTTGCCTGGTTAACAAGATCAGGGGCTGCAGTTAGAAGTGGCGATCAGTAGCCTACTGACCTATCCGGAAAGCAAGGAGGCCGTTTATTGCAGCACAAGGCTGCCGAGTGTTCTGTTTCAAGTCTGACCCCGGGGAGCGCTGCGAGGCGCTCACGGCGGGGTCCGAACGGCGCAACCATAGCAGCGCTGGTGGTCGTAGCTTCTGGACTCTGGACGCTTGGACTGGATGCCGTCTTCGACTGACCTTAGCCATCCAAGACCGTCACTTGGAGAAGAGCCTCCGGAAGTGCGAAAGAATGCTCTTGATGACGGTGTGCGTCGCGGTGCCGCTCCAAGAGCTGTCCAGTTGATGAGGCATGATACGTGACAAGCATTGGGTGCGCGATCGTCTTCGTCGCGAGAAGGCAGGAGTCGTTGTTTCGCATCTGTTCCATCAGATATCCGCGGGCCCACATGTGAAACCACTGAGGCATTTTCGGCACAGGTTCCACCCACTGTTCAGGCCACAGTTGCCGTAGTGGTCAAAACCAGGGAACACGTTAGATGCGTGTTACGCGGATGCAGGCTGAGCCCAAGTGGGTCCTGCGAAGAGGGACGTGCTTCGTTGTACATGATTCTGCTGATCATGCTATGTTATGTTGATTGCGTTTTACACGTCATGTTTCGCATACATCTACGAACACAGTGCATGCCAATCTCAGGTGGTACTACGAAGGCGGTCCAAAGCCGGAGAGGCTACCTGCAGATGAGGCGCCGTTCTCGTAAAACTGAAAGAAATGCCATGTCCAGCTGGAAAGGCAATGGACAACTTCGTGAAGGCAGAGGAAGCTAGAGGTCAGCCACTCGGATGCCAACAGCGCCGGCACGTTGAAGCGGTGCCTCCATCAGATCTCTTCATGCTCTGGCGACTCTAGCTCAATGCCCTGACACGTACCTAAACTAGGAGCTTGGCATTCACAACAGCGGTACGACCACAACAAGGGTCAGGAATCAATGTGTGCAGAAGTCATGTCCAGAGCAATACGGTGCTTCACCTGATCGAAGTCTGCGCCATGGTGAGGGTCAGCTTCTGCCCTCCCTTGCGGACGCCGGCTGTTCAGTGCCATGCCGTTCCGTTCCTGAAGATTTTGCATTCGCCTGCAGGACCCAGGAGGAGCCCTGCAGCGAGTCTAGGTGTGGGATCCAGTGATCGCAAAAAGTGTTTACTAGCCCCTGGCTTCAGACTCCTCCTTGACTTTGAGGTGGTCCAAACAAGTTCGAGAGCTTCAGGCGATGCAGCGGAAGGCGCGAAATCGGGCTCTTGATGCTCGCAGGCTGATCAGGCTGTTGCACACGCCAACCCGCCCAGCGCCCATAGGATTTTGCCAAAGTTTTGTTTACAAATACTGTTTCGGTGGGTTACGATACGTATTCCTGACCGATTGCCAGCCCAGGCCGCTCGTCGGTTCCCCTATCATCGGTTAGGTAGGTGTGGGATAGGGCATAGGAGCGTCACACTGCTCCATGCGATCGGCTGCCTGTTCAGGAACATGTCTGATTTGAGATCCTTCCGCCGTGGGGGTGATGGTCAGTTCCCACAGGCCGCTCACAACCCTTACGAAGTTCGCCTTCCTCATTTCTTGGAGTCGATCGTCGAGTGTGAGGATACTGATCGGAAGACATCCATTATTAGGATGGATGCCTGAGGCGAGCGTATCGTTTCGCCTTTTCAGGCATGGTTGGTGAGCGAGTTCATGACGAACTCCGCGAGCTCAATTGATGTGTTTAGGGAAAGGGATCAGTTGATGGTTTTCACCCGTCCCTCTTCGCCAACTATATGCTCGACGGGATCAAGGCTACCGTGGCGATGTCGGTCGAATCGCACTCGAGGGCACCATGTGGTGGATGGGACCTTGCGACATGTGGCTTTCCAGCCCTTCGCTTGGCCGGTCTTGAATGACATGTCGCCGTCTTACACCGACGTGAAGATCTACAATGGGAACGAGGTGTTGTTCCGTTGGATCTTCAGAGGGTTCCGCGCAGACACGGACCTCTACGTTTTCTCGCTCGAGTGTGATGGTCGTACCTACTCGGTCGGGCGAAACGGGACAGTGGTCGCTGGCGACAGTGCGCGTTCGCGCTTTGAGCTCAGGGTCTCAGATCGCTCGTCTGAGGATGCGGTCGGGAATGACGCTGACAGAGTCGAGTTTCGCCCTCGCGACTGTGACAACCGTATCGATCTTAAGTTCGCTCGCACCTCAGTGCCGGCCACCTGGTTGACATTGTCGCATACCAGCACCCGGTCCTCGTCACTTTCATGGCTGGACTGGACGCAGACAACTTCCATGTTCAGGCGGACGGCAAGCTCTATGCCGCGAGGCACAGATCGTTGCCACGAGGGCGCTCACCGAGATGATTCGCGATGGGGCTGCTCTCGCTCCGGTGCCGAGGGGCCCGCCTGCGCTCTCGCAGGGTTGCTTGGTCTGCTGCGTCTGAGCTAGCACAGGCGCGCGCCAACATGCCGTCGAGTTCTGGCGAAGTGGCCGTTCGTCGCCGAGCTCAGGACGACCTCCAGGACAGGACAGGGCTTTCGCCTCTGTGGTCTTGCACCTGGCACTGGAGATATTTCGTGATCACGTTCGCAACAAAGACGTGATCTTACTGATCGATTCCGATGCTGTTGAGGATTCCTTGGTCAAGGCTACTCTAAACAACATCTGTGAGCTCGTTGAGCTTCTCTGGAAAAGCTCACTCGAGTATCGGGTGAATTTCTTCTTGATCGTGTTTCAACGGATGCCAACCCGGCCGATTGACCATCCCGAGATCACCTCGAGATCGGCGAGACGGCCGGGTGGCAGACAGTGATTTGTTCGTGGCCTTTCGCGTTCGCTTGAAAAAGTTTGAGCCTGGGAGATGCTCGGGTCTTGAGGATCGGGAAGACTCGTTCGAGACTTTGGCGATTGGTCCCGTGAAGGGCGCATCGACTGCTCGGTCGCGCATTTCGCTGCTGACTACCTACTATTTCGTTCGGAGGAGTCGGTGGGCTGGGAATGCGGTCGGGGCTATCTCTTTCTTTTTCGTTCGCTTGATGCTCTATCTGCCATTCAATCCCATGCCAGAGTGGTCGAAAAGGTGTTCATTGCCACTTTGTGCTCTCTGGCTGCTGATCAGCGAGTTCGTTCGAGCGTGCGCTTCTTTCTTGGCCTGCAGCTCTCAAAACGAACCCGTGCAGGAAAGGCGCGAAGCCTTGGCTGTCCTTACTCATGGCCAGCAGGAAGCCTGGGTCTCAGACGATGTTTGGGCACAGGATTGTGGGCTTTCGGACTTGTCGGAAAGAACGCACCCTTGGCAATCATGTCAGCCGGTGAATGTCTTCACAGTTCGCACGGAAGAAGGCGAACTGCTGGGCATATATCTAAAGGAAACAATGCTGGTCAGGGCAAAAACGTTTCAAATTCCAAGTATGCCTGGGGCTTTCAAGGCAGCTCAACTCCCAGAGTCAGGGACGATGAAAGAGATCCAGACGATGTACGTTGCTCGCAAGTTCCCATTTCACTGCCGTATACTGCCGTTAACTTCACAAAAGCTGACGTGGCCACTTGTGGGCCTGTAGGCAACGTTTCCGCAGATTTTGAAAATCCATATGAATTTAAAATCTGCAAGGCCTTACGAAGCTGTTAGTGTCTCCAACATCTTGCGAACCGCAGAAAGCCAGACCTGTGTTTCAAATGTGGCAGGAACTGTACGGATACCATGTGATCGTGGAAAGTGTTTCTTGCCTCTGGAAAAGGTTGCAACATTCTTGCCTTTGGAAAAGGTTGCGACATGGGCTTCTATTACCGAAGCAGCGTGGACACATTATGAGGTTGTGACGTTCAGGGTATAGAGTATTTGGTGAGTGTCTTCAAGCAGTTCCCGTAAACACGGCGAGCAATCAGTCCCTCTAACAGTTCATTTGTCCGTGTGTTCCTCGTGAAGGAACAGACCGGCTCGCGTGGTGGTGGTTCGATGGCTTCGGCTGTGGCGCAGTGGACATATATTCGCCAAAAAGCGCGTTCTTGTGAGACTTGTGAGAGTCTCGTGGTTGCCACGTCCTCCGGGGTCAGTATGAGTTCACTTCTTTCGCGTCCTCCAACTCGATGCATCGTGCTCCCGCCACGGTGCTGTGCAGATCCAAGTGTTTTTGGCGGAAATCGTGCTCCCACTGCAGTCCTTGCTACATTTTGTTTCCAAAATCGCCAGAAGTCCGTGCAGTTTGCCCTACAGTCCTAGCGTATAGCCTCCTCGGGGCCGGTCCTGAAGTCCCCTTGTTCCGAAGAGTTTTGGAACTTTCCAAATGGGCAAACGTGCTCCCACCCCAGTGCCGTGTCCGCCTCCCGAAATCGTGCTTCCGCCATGGTGCCGTGCACATTTTGACTGCGATTCGTGTTTCCGCCGTAAATCGTGCAGGACGCGTGCTTCTTGGGATGGCAATCGTGCTCCCACCAGTGCGGTGGGCATTCTGGGCTCATCAGGTAATAATATGCCAACGGCCATGTTCGAAATTCAGCATCAGCATTGCACCATCACTAACTGCAGAAGAGGAAGCCCAACGCTCAAGGTCATTTGATGTCAGAAAGGTAAGAAATTTTAGTGTTCTTGACCCAGAGCTCTGTGTGGCGGTGAGCGCCGGACTCTTGAAGAGCGCATCCCACGGGCCTTAATCCTTTCGTCGTTTGGTCCGTATGCGGTCTTTCCACCGAAGCTCTTGCTTTGCTATGCAGTCCCGGCCATGCCCACATCGTTCTCGTAGCTGTGCGTGTTGCGCAGCAGTACCCGACAAAGCGGTACTCCCGACAAGACTCTTCAGCAGAGGCGCTACATGGTTATCTGCTTCAGCTGCGAAGTGACAAGTTTGCGGGCCACGAGGCGGGGCGGTGGGGGCTCGAAGAATTCGGATGCACGCCGGCAGTGACAGTGGCTGTGGTTCAGGCTCCAAGAAGTCGCCAGCCGCGGCATGATGCTGAGAAAGGCTCCCCCGACTTTTCGAAGACAGTGCTCGGATGCCGAGGCCACCAACCCCGCCTGCAAACCTTATCGGAGTTGGACGAGCAGGACGGCCGTAAGCATAGCTTGAACAGCCGTGGATCTGGGCTTCGTGCAGAGAAGATGGGAGCTCTCACGAGTGCAAGCGGCGGATGGCAGCCATGAGTGTTTGAGCCCGATTAGACGTTTGAGGAATACGACGGAACCTATATAGCCTTTTAGCTTTTTTGCCATGTGTGCCTGGGACTTCCAGAATGCCGCGGCACATTCCATCGTGAGACTTGAGACTTGAGAGGCCGCCCTCCGAAGCACAGAGTGATCACGATGGACGCTCAGGCATCGTATATACCGCAGTGCAAAAACAGCGCCCTCTACAGGCTTTCTGTCACTTGTCAGGTCCCAGGCCCCGTGTGCGAACAGCCGGCAGCTTGGACTCCAAGGGTGCAACACACCATGACCCCCTTTCGAGCCTTTTCCAACGTTTTTTGTGCAAACGTGTAGGGAATCTTAGGCGATTCAAGTTCATGAGCTGCGACGGTGCGGTTCGTTTGGTTCTGCGAGATTCTGCGAGGGTTCCAACACCTGCCCGCCCAGGAGCCTCTTGTAGTCCAGGAGAGCAACACCCACCAGGGCTCCGTTCAGCCCGCCATCAGCCGGCAATGCCTGCAGCTAGCCCAAGCAGAAGGCCAGTTTTGCTGCTGGAGCAGCTCACAGGGTGTACATGGAACAGTGGTCCTCTGACAAAAATCGTTCTGGAGGCCGTTAGTGAAAGACATGTACTTGTAGCTGTAAACTCTTGAAAGGCTGTGTGGATGCGATTCGGAGGCACATGCAGTCAAAGGCCGAAGTTTTTTTGTGGTCTTGGCTGTTCTGTGCGCCAACTTGTGCTTTTTGATCGGTGTGTTGTACTCGGAGGTGCGGAAAGCCTTGCCACGTTGCCGCTATCCAGCAAATCTCGCGTCAAGATACAGGCTGATCCTGTGCTTTGCAGCCGAGAGAAGTGCAAGGGCTGGAAGGAGGGCGCGAGAGGCTAAACACAAGTTCGTTCGCTACAACTTCCACAATCTTTGACATGAGGAGTAGACTACCTTCTGTGTGCCAGGCATGACTACGTGGACTACTGCCTCAGCGAGGAGCTTTCTGATCTGTGAGCATCACTTCCTGTGTCTTTGTGATTGTTTTTGCTTTTCTTAGTTTGTTTCTGTCTTTGTTTACGTTTTTGTTTGTGAGTTTGTCGCAGGATGCCAAGTTTCACTGTATTGTCGACGCCAGGTCCGCGAGGTTCATGCCGACACAATATTCCGGCCTCACCGCGTTTAGATGTCGGTCGTGAAGCTGCTTGTTTTCCCACATGTTATGTTGGCGTATTCAATGACACAATGATGCATTGCTGCTCTGTTCATGCCCTCTTCACACGCGGGCTTACCACGTGAAGTCAGTCAAGGTCATGCGCATGCGAATATATCTTCACGGGATCGCACCCCATGGCAAGAGTCCGGTGCACGCATGCTATTTGCCACCGGAGGGGTGCATGTTTGGATCTGCGAGCTTTCCAGGCCGCCTTGAGATCATTCGGGGAACTTGTGAAAGCGGAAGATTTGGTGTGAACTTTAGAAGCTGTCCTAAATTACAGTCGCTACCAAACACGTTTCTTATCGTGTAGGTGATTTGTGAGGCTGACATGCGTGCTCGCTTGCAGCGCTGCTTATGCGACGCTCAGCCAGGAACCGTTTGTTGTTTGATGTTGTTTGTTTCTGCCCAATCAGTGTGGTAACGCTGGGGGCGCGGAAACATGGCTCCCTGCGTCCTGTTATTGACAACAAACGCCGCAAGTCTCGTCCGTGCATCCGATGTTTCGCACAGGATGCTCGCGGCACGGGTGCATACTTTCCCTGGCATCCCATTGTTTGCGGAGGATTCGCCTGACACGCGTGCCCGGGGCCAGGATTCATGGTAAACAATGCTACTGGTGCATGGACCACAGCCTTGAATCGCCGCACTACGTTTCGCGCTGGCCCTGGAGCCGCCGCTACTTGGTTCCACTCGGGGGAAAGCGTTGGCAGCGAACCACCAGCCCGGTTTGTCATGACTGTGCTCCGGAGAGTGTGGAAGAACAGAGACGGCAGCTAGTTGCGCCCTGTTTTCTCGCACGCATGCGAAGTGCCGGCTGATGATGCTTCAGTCATGGTCTTGCATGGTTTGGGGATCTCCGCTGGCATGGTTTGTTTGCTTGCTTGCTTGTTTGTTTTGTTAGTTTGTACGTTTGTCTGATATCTTTGAAGGGCACGCCTAAGTTTTCTGTTTATAGCTTTCAGTGAACCTTCGCCATTGAGATATCTGACGATGCAACAGGGATGCTCACTGAGCATAGCTGCTTGCCAGTGCTTTTTGCTTAGCCTTAGCGGCTTGAGACGTGGTCAGGTAACGGACAGAAAATTGTAGGTTTTGCATTTGCACGAGTGTTCTTCAAAACTGTCGAGGGTGACTGAATCCAGCGCTCTGCTGGCAGAATCACCTTAGACGCATAACAAGCTCTTGCTGCTAGACTACGACGCAGAGTCCTATAAGATCCTACAAGCCAACAGTTTAGCGGAATCTGCACGGCGAAGCCCCCCTGAAGGAGCAATTGGCAATCTGCCGCAGCGGTGGGCTTCCTGCTCCACAGCTGCACCAGCCGGAAGGAGTGCAGCCTGCCACGCTGTCCGGGTGTCCGTGCGCTGCTCTAGGCCGACTGGCACCTGAGGGCTGGATGGAGCATTGCCTAAAGCACGATACGAGCATGTGAGTGTTCAGTATGCAGCCTGCAGGTTTAGGCCTGTCAGTCTCGGCGCCCGAAAGCGGGCCGTCCGTCTCTTGACATCCTGTACAGATACCCAGCAAGGACGTGAAAGCCAGCAAAGGTATCCTGGCTTGTCGAAGTTTCCGCAGAAAAGGACGGATGCCGTTGCTGGCGGCTTGCACGAGGATTCCCCTATGCACCAGCTGCTACCTGGCCTCCATGTTTGCACCGATTGCTGTTGGTATAGCAGGTCGTGGCCCAAGATATGCAAATGGCATCGCGCAGCCAGGACAGGGTTCCAGCATGGTCAGGCAGGAGTGCCACAAAGTAGTTCCTCCCTGGCCAGGAGTCATGCGACGGTGGTTCAAAAGAACTCCCTATGGTGGCTTCTTCGGAGAGTGCCTTGGGTCTGCATAGCTTTGCAGCTTGCACATGCATGTTGAATGGCTTGATTGGCATACTACACGCACATGGTGGAGCCATCGTGAAGCGTGCTGAAGCGAGGCTGTGAAGCAAAGATGTGCCTTTCTTGCCCACAGGCGAGGAAGGCCATGCATGAGTGGTAGTTTCACCAGAACTTCCGTTTCACTTGAAAGAGAGCGACAGAAGGGGGCAAGCGAGCGTGCCTTGCTGGAACTTGCAACAAAGCAAATTGGGGCTGTGAGGTGCAAGGCTGCTGCTGTGCAACACTGCAGGGAGCAAGTTGGCGACGACTCTCGCAGCGAAGACGCGACACTCCAATGCCCACAACAGTCGAGGCTCCTGAGATGAGCTGTAATGACTTGTCCCTCTAGCACTTACACTTGGTGCACTCATGTGACTTTGTGTCTTTCTGTTCTCTGCACGCGTTTCTGAACGCGTTGTGTGTGCACACATGTTTACATATGTGGATGCCAGAGCCCTTAGAGTTAGAGTTAGAGTGGACGGCATGGACTGCATGCGTGAGTTTCTGCAGTTTAATCATATCTTTTCTCCAAGGTTTATGTCAGCTCGCGGAGTCTCGTGCTTTTGCATTCCCTGCCAGCAAGGGTCCTGCTTCTGCCCCGAATCTTCCTGTCCTATTTTCCGTACCGCTGCGAGTTTTTGACCCTTGCCGCAGCTGTGCCAGCAACAATGGCATTTCCTCCATCGCGGTGAGTTAGCTCGGGAGGAGCTGCGGTTCTGAGACACACCAAATACCTAAATTTCTAGACATAATTTGTCCTTCCATGGTTGACAGTCAGCATTTAGTAGATGCAAGTTGCAAAGTCACAATGACTGCGCATTCCACACTGATACCTAGAATGATTTCAAACCCTGTGAAAATGACCACATATCTGTCTGCCGGTGTACCACTTCAATATGACACCTTCGGTCGCTCTCGAAGAGAATGTCTTCAAGGCTCGTCAATGCGCATTGCTGGACATCAGATGCCTCGCAGACCTTTGCAGGCTGCGTCCCAGATCCGCTTCCTTGAAGGCCAGACGTCTGCATCGGTCTAATATGTTTGTTAAAACCTACTGCATGTGTTTAACTGACTACAATCTACTGGTAGGACATGAAGGAGCCTTTGTGACGGGTGAAAGGCAGATGCTGCATCGTGATCAGAGACGGGACATCAGGTATTGCAAAAAATGCAAGGAGGGCACTTGCCGCGTCAACAAGACTGCAAGCTCGGCTTTACCACACTCGAGGAGGGTTTGACTTCAAGAGGTCAGATCCAAGGTCCACTTCTGAAATGCAGGCAGTTCGCATCCGCTGTCCGCCAACCATGGAAGGGGAAAGCAACGATTGCCTGCTTGAACGTGGGCCAGCTACCGAAGGTTTCCTTCGGTGGAAATCAGCAGGCTTCATGCTTGAGTTAGCTGCTCAAAATTGTTATAGAGGCAAAGCGCGGAAACAAGGAGAGGAATCTTTCATCACTCCGTTTCGCAGGCCTTCGAGAATGTCGCGAGCCCAATTCAAGTCATATCAGCATGGCCGCGGTTCGTTTCCGCACGGTTTCCGTGAACCGGAACCGGAATCTGTGCGGTTCGGTCCTGCGGTTCCGGTTCTTGCGGTTCCGATTTGCGGTTCCGACGGTTCGCTAT